ATTTTAAGATTGTGTTGTTTGTTATTCACTGCTACTAATGTTGTGAAGTGTTTAGTTTTGTTTCAAAATGTAGTTGGATATTTTAAGATTGTGTTGTTTGTTATTCACTGCTACTAATGTTGTGAAGTGTTTAGTTTTGTTTCAAAATGTAGTTTATATTTTACAACCGTGTTGTTTGTTATTCACTTCTACTAATGTTGTGAAGTGTTTAGTTTTGTTTCAAAATGTAGTTGGATATTTTAAGATTGTGTTGTTTGTTATTCACTGCTACTAATGTTGTGAAGTGTTTAGTGTTGTTTCAAAATGTAGTTGATATTTTACGATCGTGTTGTTTGTTATTCACTGCTACTAATGTTGTGAAGTGTTTAGTTTTGTTTCAAAATGTTGTTGATATTTTACAACTGTGTTGTTAGTTATTCACTGCTACTAATGTTGTGAAGTGTTTAGTTTTGTTTCAAAATGTTGTTGATATTTTACAACTAACCATGTTGTTTGTTATTCACTGCTACTATAGTTGTTGAAGTGTTTAGTGTTCTTTCAAACTTTTGTTGATATTTTACAACTAACCATGTTGTTTGTTATTCACAGCAACTCATGTTGTTGAAGTGTTTAGTGTTGTTTTAAACTTTTGTTGATATTTTACAACTAACTGTGTTGTTTGTTATTCACAGCAACTCATGTTGTTGAACTGTTTAGTTTTATTCTCTATTTCACTCATTACAATTCACACTCCCTATCAAAACTATTCACGTTAAACATGTAGAATTTTCTTTGTACATTTTTCAATAAGAAATTAGGGCTCTTATAATTTTATAAACCTCAACATCAACTAGACATTTTCAAGTCTTACTTACAGGAATAGATCCATTTCAAATCCTATTTTTTTATTTATCCCTATGTATTTTTTTTCCCTGTTTAACAGGATTTCCCCGCACGGTACCACAGGCTCAGGCACTTAAAGAGTCCTTCTCCTTGTCTTGTGTTTTGAACTTGAACGTACCGGATGAGGTTATCATCGACAGAATTAAAGGAAGGTGGGTGCATGCAGAGAGTGGTAGGACCTACCACACTGAGTTCAACCCTCCCAAGGTCCCTGTGAGTAAAGAACCCTCATTTATTCAGTTCATGATATTTTATAAAAATGGTCACATTTACTCATGGATTGTTTGTTTGTTAATCACAATTTTATGTTTTTTTCTATTCTACCTCTTTATCACCTACGTCTTCAACGTGCACTTTGATGTTGAGTGAGATAGGCTGTAGACTGTATGTAACAGTGTAGCAGATGTGGCTGATTTGTTGGACTGTCTTGGTGTAGACTGTATGTAACGATGTACCAGATGTGGCTGATTTGTTGGACTGTCTTGGTGTAGACTGTGTGTTACGATGTACCAGATGTGGCTGATTTGTTGGACTGTCTTGGTGTAGACTGTGTGTTACGATGTACCAGATGTGGCTGATTTGTTGGACTGTCTTGGTGTAGACTGTGTGTTACGATGTACCAGATGTGGCTGATTTGTTGGACTGTCTTGGTGTAGACTGTGTGTTACGATGTACCAGATGTGGCTGATTTGTTGGACTGTCTTGGTGTAGACTGTGTGTAACGATGTACCAGATGTGGATGATTTGTTGGACTGTCTTGGTGTAGACTGTGTGTTACAATGTACCAGATGTGGCTGATTTGTTGGATTGCCTTGTGGGAAGTCCATGTGATGTTATTACAGCTCTAGTATTTTAATAGAATTTGATTATGTTTTACTGCAGGGCTTTGATGATGTGACTGGAGAGCCATTGGTCCAGAGACACGATGATAAACCTGAGACAGTTCGAGCAAGACTGAACAGTTATAAGAACCAGTCAACACCTGTGCTGGAATACTACAGGTTGTGATTAATTGTTTTTCTTGTCAGTGTTATAACTGTTTTAAAATTGTGCTTCAAAAGCAACTAAGATAAACATGTTTTCTATTAATGTGTGTTTATCAGGTCGTAATAAACTGTGTTGTTAAAACACGAACTTTGCGGGACTCTAGTGAAGTGACCGCCTCTGCCACAATTACTGGTTTTACCTCTTAAACTGTTAGTGTTTGAAAAAAGGGTTAATATTTTTTTTTCTAATTAGCTTATATATAATCACTGATTCTTACTGTAAGGAAAACAACAAATATTAATGTTATATAATTTTTACAGTTCATAGTCTGATTCTACGATTTTATGTAAGCTTTATTTACTTCTTTTATTTCTGCACATTACACGCATCTAGACGGCTGTTTGGAGTGTATAGGTAGGTCCATACACATGTATTAACACTGATTTGTTCTCTTAAAATATGTTTGAATACTGTCGTTTGTAATGGAAGCCTATAAAGTCAAATGTGCTATATGTTTCAGTAATACTCTTGAATATGAGATTATAATTATAGACTTAGTGCATAAGATTTCATTAATCCAACTTTTTTAAGTATTAAAAACATGAAATATTTGAACTTGTTTTCATATCTATTTACTCTTATTGAAAAACAATGTTAATAAAAAGAAGTATCCTGTGTTTGTGGGCTGCCAATGTTGAAGAATTAGTGTTTTTGTTTGTTAATGAGGATAATTTCTCTTGGTTGTTACTTTCAGTATAGTTTTCTTTACATTAGGTAAATAACTACCCTCTGTTATTAATACGTTATATGTTTCTTATGCTGCTTCACCATTGATGTATTATCTTCGGTTCACTAATGACATATTGTTTATTTTTTCCTGGTACACTAATGATACCTGGTTTATTTCCATTTTTTTTTCCTGGTACACTAATGATACATGGTTTATTTATGGTTTTTTCCTGGTACACTAATGATACATGGTATATTTCTGTTTTTTCGTGGTACACTAATGATGCATGGTATATTTCTGTTTTTTTTCCTTGTACCCTAATGATACCTGGTTTATTTCC